CGCCAGGTTGAAGGGTGGGTGGGTGTGGGGGTGCAAAGGTGCCTTTATTTCCCAGGGTGCTGTTAACAAATCGAACTTGCCAGCCTCAAGCCTCGGAGAGGGACCTTCTCCCACTCCTGCTGCAGTGAGAGAGGCGACCACCAGGGGGAGCTGTGGGCAGCTCGGTGAGAGGCGTTCCCGGGGCGCCTCTGGGAAGCAGGGCTTCTCACCCAGGAGGAGAGAACTCGACAGGGAAAGGTAAAGCGGCGGCAGTCGCTCACCTGTGAGGACCGAGGGAGACTTGGGCCTTTTGGGACCTGGGTAATGTTCGTGTCTTGCCCGCTTTTGGACGTGATTACGGGGCCGTTGTTCTCTGACCCGTCGCAGGCTGGCTGGTGGACAGCAGTGCTCTGTGGCTCGTTTGTGTTCAAAGGAAAGCGGCCGAGGGGAGCCAGGCGAGCTCCCAGGCTCCTGGCCGCCTTCCTCCTCGAAGGTCGTTCCATTTTTAAAGTGTGGGGAATTCATTGCCGATAGTCTTCCTTTAAGGTTGTACCAAAATATAACCCACCCCCCACACACACCTCTGGGGCATAAGATCTGGTCCAGGGTCACACAGTCAAGACCAGAGTGGAGACCGGGTGTTTCTTTACTGTGCCCACCGCCTCTCTGTCTGTGTGACAGGCTGGCATGGGCCGGCTGGGGCAGCCTGGTAAGGCAGTGAGCTCGTCCCTGGAGCATCCAAGAAGCCGCCCGATGTCCCACTGGAACCCCCTGTGACTGTGGCCCCAGAGATTTTCAAGGTGGTTCCAGCTGGGAGCCATGCTCTGTGAGGCTTGGTGCCTGAGCCGGCGAGGCCTTTGCTCAGATCCTATAGGGAGGGGTGGACCCAGCCAAGGCCAGCAGGGAGTGTGGCACCCTGGGCACTTCCCAAAAGTGGCCACTAGACGGCGCCCAAAGGGCCTGCTCTGGGCTGTGAGGGATCCCAGCTGGCCCATCACAGACCTAACGGTCCAGGACAGTGTGTTTCAAACCCTTTCATTAAAATCTCACAGGGGGGCCTACGTTCTAGGGGCAGGTAGCTGGGGAAAGTTGGGGTGGAGGGGAGGGAGTGAATCTGTCCATTTGTGCAAAGACATCTGCTGAGATGTGACCGGGACCCACACAGAAACAGACACACAGGTGCAAGTGTGAGCATGTGCCTGCATACACACACACACTCACACACACTCACACACACACGCTCACACTCACACGCACATGCACACACACACGTACACACTCACTCGCACACACACACACACTCACACACACACGCACACACTCACACACACTCACTCGCACACACACACACATACACACTCACACACACACACACACACACTCACACACTCACACACACACACACACACACACAGTGCTCATCCTTGTGCCAGAGCAGAGCACAGGGTGGGGAGGTCGGTACACCCAGTTCTCCAGGCTGAGACGTCCGTTGAGCATTCCTTGGGGCTGTGGTTAGTGGCTGGGCCCTGTGGGGACTCGGGGTGGGGGAGCTGCTGTGCAACACCCCCTAGTAACCACCTCTGCAGAGTGTGGGTGTCAGGAGAGTTGAACCCCAGATCTGAGGGGGAGGCATGTTCAGAGGTGCCTCCCAGTTCTCTCGAGTATTTGCATTTCCAGAGGACAGTCACAGGCGGAGCAGCTGCTTCCCAGTCACTTCATCATTCACATGCGAGGCCGCCCGGGAAGGCCCTGGAGGAAGCTGCCCTGACCCCAGGCTCCTGTTACTGTAGCTGGGATGGCAGTGAGCCCTGGGGTGGGGGCCCAGAACTTCCGATGGACAGAGGTTCCCAGGTGTAACAGATGCGGCCCCCTCCCCACCCCCTACTCCAGGGCGTGGGCTTTGCAGACCAAGTCCCTGAGGACCCTGCAGGATTCCACATTGGTCCCCAGGCCTTGTCCCCGACTTAGAGGCAGGTCTTAGTTCCTGGGGACAGCAGCTTAAAAATCACCTACCAAGAAACTAAATCAGCCCAGTTGGCATGGCTCAGTGGTTGAGCGTCAACCTATGAACCAGGAGGTCAGGGTTCGATTCCCAGTCAGGGCACATGCCCGGGTTGTGGGCTCGATCCCCAGGGGGTTGTGCAGGAGGCAGCCGATCAATGACTCATCATTGATGCTTCTCTCTCTCTCCCTCTCCCTTCCTCTCTCTGATATCAATAAATAAATTTTTTTAAAAAGAAAATAAATCAGCAGGTATTGATTTCAATAATGTAAAACTCTCCAATTTTATGTAAATATTTTAGTCAAACCACGTCTGGACACTAGAGGTAGAAATAGAAAACCCAGATGCCAGAGCTGGGAGGGATCCAAGAACCTTCTAGTCCAGACTCCTCACTTTACACATGAGGCCTGAGGAATAGGGGGTTGACGCTCACTGCGGCCGTTTTCCAGAATCTTCCGAGTTCCCCCAGTGCTGTAAGAAGCCTGAGCGCTGCAGGAGACAGGAATAGAGAGGCTGTGGGGGAAGTGCGTGCCCCCCAAGTGCGTGGCGCCGGGTGGTTGGTCTCTGAGATGCCACCAGTCCCGCAGCCCAGCTGTGCGGGGACCAGGCCCGGAACAGGAACTGCTCGGAACCCTCCTCGATGTTGCCGCGGTGCCCACAGCAACCCGAGACCGAGGGCAGCTCCCCGGCCAGGGCGCCTTGGCCCATACGAAGAAACGGTGACCCCAGATGTCATGAGCGCTCTGAGGTCTGAGCCTCAGGAGGTGGACAGCCCACAGTGGTCCTGTGATTCGGGCGCCGATGCAATGAGAGCGCCTCCGATTGACCGGCTCCTGTAAACGCACCCGTGGCGGGCAGGGCCCTCAGGGCAGTAAGTCCGGCTGGTCGGCTCCATGGCTTGGGAAAACCTCCATCCCTGCGGCTGGTGCTGTTGGACCTGGCAGGGCGGGGCCGCAGGGCTCCGGGCCGGAGGCAGGAGGGGCGGGGACCCTGGGGGCCACAGCAAGTTGCAGATCCCGACATCAGCCTCCTGAGAGCCCTCGTCTGGCTCCAGTCCCTTGGGAAAGGGTCGAGAATCGTGGGCTGTCTCCCGTTTTGCTCTATCGGGGCCACTTCCCCAGCTCCACAGCAGAGAATTGTCAGTCTACTGATGCACTTTAAAAAATCGCATGTGCTCTTGATCTGATAAATAGCTTTACTCTTTTTACTTTTGCGGGAAAACGTAGCTCCTTTAGGCCAGTTTCCTCCATGACAACGGGGAGGGGCCCTTTGGAAGTTTTGTGAAAGTATGAACTTCACCTGTTTTGTCTTCCAGGTGCCTCCCCCCCTCTGCCCCCTCTCCGCGGGATCCCCACTGTCATTCATGAAAATGTTGAATCAGGTGAGTGCCCAGCGTCCCTGAGGCAGGCGGGGAGCAGGCGCCGGTTACAGCCGTAGCTCTGAGTTTCCCCCAGGCACGGCCCTGTGCCCGGGACCTCGAGCTTCGCCAGCTGACTCTGCTGGGGGAGGGGGTCAGGGTGCCGGCGTCTGAGCCGCGGTCACCACGTGGGCCTCACACCACATCGGGATCCAGGGTCCTTGTTTCCGACCACCTGCCGCATCCAGGCTCCGTCCCGGGGCGTGGTTCTCCCCTCCCGGGTGTAAAGGCCGAGGCCCAGGGACCCGGCTGCACATGAAGGCCGGTGGCAACGCCACTCGCAGTGGCCGGAAGGCGGAGGGAGCCGTGTCCACCTCTGAGGAACAGCTGAAGAAAACGTGGCCCATCCACACGGTGGAACAGTGTTCGGCCACGGGGAGGAGCGACGTTGCGACGCCTGCTGGGACGCGGGCAAACTTGAAAACGTTCTGCAGAGTGAAGGAAGCCAGACGTAGAAGCCCACACGTCGTAGGAAGTGTCCAGGACAGCCCTGGCCGGTTGCTCAGTGGTTAGAGCGTCGGCCCATGGACTGAAGGGCCCCGGGTTTGATTCCGGCCCAGGGCACGTACCTGGGTTACAGGCTCGATCCCTGGCCCTGGGTGGGGCCCGTGCAGGAGGCAACAATCGATGTCTCTCTCTCCCTCTCTCCCTTCCACTCTGGGAAGCAATGGAAGAAATATCCCCAGGTGAGGATTGAAAATATAAAAAATAAAAACAGAAACTGTTCCGAACTGGGCAGTGCCGATGGCCGTCCAGCATTGTAATGTCCTAACTGCCGCTGGATTTACACCAGAAAGTGGGTAAAACGGGGAATTTTCTGTTTTGTGTCTTTTCTCTCCTCGTTTGGCATCTCCCTGAATCACACGTGAGGGGAAGGACTTAAAAGACAGTTTCCTGAAGCGAAACCCTCGCCCTGCTCGTCGGTTCTTCCAAGTCACAGGAAAAGAAACCCCCCTCTCCCCTGGCATTTTGCCTCGGGCACCTCCCATCCTAGACCCTAAATTCCTGAAGCCGTCTGCCCACTGAATAGATGCGCCTTGGGACTATGGCTCGTGAGAAATGTCGGCCATGATGGAAAATCAACCAGCTTTTTTTTAAAAAAATAAAAAATAAAAATATATCTATATATCTTTATTGATTTCAGAGAGCGGAAGGGAGAGAGAGAGAAACATCAATGATGAGAGTCGTTGATCAGCCGCCTCCCGCATGCCCCCGGCCTGGGGATCGCCCCGAAAGCCCTGCATGGGCCCTGACCGGGAATCAAACCCTGACCTCTAGGACCCTAGGTCGATGCTCAACCACTGAGCCACGCCCGGCCGGGCAACAGGCCTTTAAAATGTGTCTTGGCTTTCTTTCCGCTGTACTATTCAGAAGGTCAGGTATTTACGTGAGGCTAAAAAAATGTTTTTCCCTTTTCTTGTTTCCCAAGAAGCACAGAGCTCGGCTGGAACGCCAGACAGTTGGCTCAACCAACCGGTGGCGCTTCCCCAGGGAGCCCTTCTCTCCGGACCTGCTGGCGCTGTCCCAGATGTGCAAGGCCATGAGCATAGACCTGGATGACACCCTGAAGGACCCGGATAGGTAGGGAGGTCAGAGCCCGCGGGGGGAACACCCCGCCAGGACTTAGCCTGCGGAGCCCCTGAGCTAAGCCGGGGAGGGGTGGCCTGGGGGCCAGACACAAAAACCTGAGGACGATGGCGGTTGTGCTGGTCTTTACAACTAATTTTTTAAAAAAATATGACTTTATTGATTTCAGAGAGAGGAAGGGAGAGGGAGAGAGATAGAAACGTCAATGGTGAGAGAGTCATTGATCGGCTGCCTCCTGCACGCCCCCTGCTTGGGATCGAGCCCGCAACAGGGCCTGTGCCCTGACCGGGAATCGAACCCTGATCGCCTGGACCCTAGGTCAGTGCTCAACCGCTGAGCCATGCTGGGAGGGGCTTTTTTTTTTTTTTTTGGTCTTTACAACTATTGAAAGCAGTCTGTTGGACAGGGTTAGAATTCCTTCTGCTCCGTTTACTAGCTCTGTGACCTTTAGCCAGTGGCTTAACCTCTCTGAGCCTCAGTTTCATGTCTGTGAAGTGGTGATAACAGCATCTCCCTTGAGGAGTTATCTTGGGGATTAAATTAGACAGCACATCGAAAACGCTTAGCACTGTTTCTGGCAAATAGCAGGTGCTCAATAAATAGACCTATCGTCCTTCTGGCCTGTGCAGTAGTTTTAGTGACTGGTCCCGGTGATTTCGTCCCGGTGTGTCAGCCCTGGGCTCTGCCGGCCAGCAGCCCCACATATCACTTTGCCTCTTAGCTGCATCCCCAGATCGAAGCACCTTGCGTGCAGCAGAGCGAATCCGCCTGTCTGCTCCGTGATGCTGGGGGCTGGGCGCCCAGAGGTGCCCTGGGCAAGCTGCTCAGTCACAGACCTGGCGGTCAGCAGATCCGGGCTCAGCTAGCGCCACAAGCCTCCCACCCTCCTCCTGAGACAGGGGCCAGCCTGGCGTGTGCTTGTCCTGGCAACAGCAGAGGACGAGTGGGCAGGAGGGCCTGACCGCTTACACAAGTGCCCTTCAGACCTCCAGCCAAATCGCATCCCTCACATCCCACTGGCCAAGGCAAGGCCCATGGCCGCGCTCAAGTCAAGGTCAGGGAACCAGTGGAGCTTGGCAGGTGTCCAGCCAGCAGCCCTCCGGGTGATTTGCTGCGGGAGGTCCGTGTGTCCAGACAAAACAGGGAGAAATGTCCCTCTTTCCCCTCTCATCTCTCCACCGTGGGTCATGACCAGAGGGGACCGAGCCCCAGCCTCACAGCACACCCCCAGCGTCCCCTGTGCCCACCTCACCCGACCACTTAGTCTCGAAGGGCCAGGAGGACAGGTCGCAGACACGGCCTGTTCCGTCGCTTTCCCGTCGGTCCTAAGATGAACCCTGGAAGCTGCAGGCCTGCGTGATGAATGGTACCTGGGCACGCGGCCACGACGCCCGGCAATGTCATTACTTCTGCCGTCTGGAATCTCCCCCGTGGCCGACGACGGGATGGTGATGTCTGAGAGGGCGGCTGAGCTCATGGGCATCGCCCAGAGTTTCCAAAGCCCGTGGCTCCGTTTCGAGATCACGGTCTGAACTCCTGACCTTGGCCAGCTCTTCCCGGACGGATGTGTGTGACCCGAGCCTGTGAGGGGACTGAGGCCGGTGTGGGCCCGACCCACGGCTCCTGTTGGGTAAACAGCTCGGGCTCTCGCTGCCCCCCTGGGGCTGAGTCACCTGGCGCCACCCTCTCCGCGTGGAAAGGGCAGCAGGTGTCCGACAGTGTCCCGGACGCGGGTTCCCGCTCCCAAGCCCTCCTGCGGCACCCTGGCCGTGAGGTTCCTGGGATCACTGAGGACAGCATGGCAGCCCTGGCCAGCGTGGCTCCCAGGGTCTGAAGGGTCACGGGTTCGATTTCTGGCCAAGGACATGTACCCGGGTTGCAGGTTCGATCCCCGAGCCCGGTCAGGCATGTGCGGGAAGCAACCAATCGATGTGTCTCCCTCACATCGATGTTTCTCTCTCTCTCTCTACCCCCTCCCCCCTCCCTACCCCTTCTCTAAAAATCAATGGAAAAACATATATGTATTATATATACACATATAATATATATATAGAAACACACACACACACGTCCTCCAGTGAGGATTTACAACCACAAAAAAGAAAACTGAAACCAGCATGGCGGAGGCGACGCCGACTGGTGTGGTCATCAGTGACGCTTGGCTGGCTTTCCGGGCTTGACTGTCTTCACTCTGTGACTATGTGACTCAGACTTTGTCTCATTCCCTTGCTCGGCGGGCAGAACACAGTGTTTGTGGAAAATCATCTTATATCTGCGAGTCATCCGACCATTGAACAGTGTTTTCTGAGCACGTACATGAACCGGGGATCTGTCTTGCAGGGGCAGAGCCTGGCGCAGAGGCTGTGTGGGTGAGACGGGGGCCCCGAGGCACATGGAAGGGGCTCGAGAGGGGGAGCCCGGGGGGCAGCGGGGAGGCCGTTAGCCCGGCCGCCCAGAGGAAGCAGCACCTCGGCTCCTCTGGGAGGAACAGAGGGAGCGGGTCGTGTGCGAAGGCCGGTGAGAGAGCTGAGCGTGCAGGGGAACAAAGCGAGGGGGCGTCGGGCTGAGACAGCGGCCAGGCTGGGGGGTCAGGCTGCTGAGAGGGGCTGGAGCGGGGTGGGGAGGGTGGAGGCCACAGGGACAGCAAGAGCTCCCGGCCGTGCTGAAGGGCACTGGGGTGGACACCGAAGGGCAAGACCAGGTTTGCACTGCAGGCCGGTGTGGGGCCTGCGGCGCGGGATGTGCCGCAGAGGAAGGGGCTGGAGGCTGGACACCTGCCTGATGGAAGGGAAATGACCGCGACTCGGGTCAGAGCAATGAGGGCAAAGGGAGGCGAGTGAATTAAAAGGTCCTGTTCACAACTCGGCAAGTGATCAGAGGTGCCAGCTCCCAGCCTGCGGGCCTGGGCGACGGGGCTGCTGGCAGGGGACCCTGAGAGGGCGCGGGGTTGGGTTCGGGGGGATTCTGGGTTCAGGTTTGGACACATTAGGGGAGTGTTAGCCCCTAAACTGAAGTGCTCATGAGAGAAATTCCAAGAAATGCCCCGAGCCTTCTCTTCCTCACGCTGATAGGGGTTTATTGAGCACCTACTATGCGCTAGACACTGTTTTAGACTCTCATCAAAAGAGGCGTCACTCAGGCAGCCCCGTGTAGCTTCGACTACCTCCTCGCTGAGGCCCCCCACAAACTAAAGACGGGAGTTCATGTTTGATGGAGCCATCAGGCCGAGCTCACGGTTTATCAAATCTGCAGAGAGGGGGAGACCTGAGGACACTCTCCCCCAGGGCGGGACATGGTCGGGTGGGCGAGTGGGTGCCTGAGGGGCGCTTGCCCTGCAGTGATACAGGTAACAGCTGGAGAAAACTATCGGTATTAACTCCTGGGTTTTTTCTTTCTATTTTTCCCTTGAGGTTATGCATTCCCAAAATTCAGAAATATTTCTCTGAGAACTTGAAGAACAAGGTTGTCCCAAGCGGGGATGCAGGTGAGTTTCTTGCTGCCAGGGACTCGGTCAGCGTGTTGCTGACCTCGGGCGCCTGCGGTCTCCGTGGAAGGAAACCGGGCCCGAGGCTGCGTGACCTGTCTGAACGTTTCCCTTCCTGCCCCTGCGCAGGGTAGAACATAGAACAGGGGCCCGTAAGTATTGGTCAGATGTGTGGTGAGTGAAGCCAAGCTGGGCAAGCGCATTTCCACAGCCAGGGGTCACAATAAGGATACGCGTAGGCCCGGCCAGCGTGGCTCAGCGGTTAGAGCGTCGGCCCTCGTGCCGAAGGGCCTGGAGTTTGATTCCCTGTCAAGGGCATGCACCTGGGCTGCCGGTTTGATTCCCAGGCCCGGTCTGGGCACATGCAGGAGGCAACGAATCGATGTGTGTCTCTCACATCGAAGTTTCTCTCTCTCTCTCTCTCTCCTCCTGACTTCCTTCCACTCTCTCTAAAAATCAATGAAAAAAATAAAATAATAATAATAATAATAAAAAAACAGGTACCCGAGGTCATGCGGTTAAATCACAGCAAGGTCAAGAAATGTCGATAGGACTAGTAGATGTCAGGATCCTATCTGCCGCCGAGATTTGGGGTTTCGGGGGCCACCTGAGCACCGCCCCCCAGCTCTGTGCTAACAGGGGTCCACCTGCAGAGCCCTGTTACCTGCAGCTTCTGAGCCTCACCTGGCCTGGCGTCCTTGGACCCCCCGCCTGCCCCCCACAGCCTCTCCCCTCTTACTCGTTCTGATTGGCCACGGCGAGGTCCCCCCCATAGAGCCCTTTGCCGTTTGCAAAGACCTTTCTTCACACGTGACCTCATCTCACACCCGTGTGCTGCCTCCCTGGTGGCCCCTGTGCCCTCGAGGGAAGTGGGGCCCCTGAGAGGCCTGCTGCCCGGCGATGGCCTTTTACTGTCCTGCACTGGCTACTGCCTTTCAGGTGAGTAATAATTAGGCACCGAGAGCCCGGTAGTTTTCGAAAGGGACTGGGCACTGCTCGCCCTGGGACATGAGGCAGTTTCTGGAGATGTTTTCGGTTGTCACACCGCGGGCACCCGGTGGGTAGAGTCCGGGGTTACAGCTGAGCATCCTGCAGTGCCCAGGACAGCCCACCACAGAGAGTGAGATGAGGCTGAGAAGCGCTGTCATGGGGATGGCAAGGTGAGGCCCCCAAAGGGCCCACCCGGCGTCCCTGCCCCACGAAGCCGTTTCCAGTCCCCCAGCTGGAGGGCAGCCGTGAACCTCCCCAGCTGGAGGGCAGCCGTGAACCTCCGGCGTCCTTCAGCTGCGGGTCAGTCCCTCCCCTTCACGCTTGTGGCTTCGTCCCTTCCCGGTGGGCCTGCCTGTCGTATCCCCCGGGGGCCAGTGAGCTCCCTGAGGCCCAGACTGTCCGCTATCTGTGCACCTTCGCTCCTGAGGGGCCTAGCAAGGCCACCTGCCTGCTCGGCTACTGGATGACCGTGGTCGACCGGGAGAGCGAGTGGGTGGAGCAGACACCTCCCCGGTGGGCCGGCGGTGAATCGTTTGCCCGCGTTGTGTTCTCTCCTCAGTCGTGATCCTCGAATGCCTGGGCTTCACGTGGGAGCTGCACCTGCCCCAGCTCTTTCAGTCCGAGACCTTGACCAGGCTGTACATCATGGCCCTGGACAGACACACCACGTGCCCCAAGAAGGAACTGGAGAAGCTCCTGCCAGGTACTTTCTCACTGGCACCAGCGCAGAGTCCCAGACGCCACCTGGTCTGAGAGATCCCGGCGTGGTGTTGGGGTGTCTGTTTTAGGACCGTGGTCACTCTGGCAGTAAGAGCGAGGCCCAGGGGCAATCTCACCAGATGGGGATTTAACCTCAATCTGTTGTCACTCAAATTTTAGAATGACCTGAGGGGAGGGGGCGGCTGGCAGTGAATTGCACTGTCCTTTCCCCTCCTGGGAGCTTCTGGTGACGGGTCCTCTGTCTGGAGACCTGTGGGGTGAAGTTTCAGGAGCCCCTGGGTGGACTCGGCAGCCCCACACCTGTCCTCCAGCAGCTCTCGGCCTAAGGAGAGATACGGGGAGGAGGGGGAGAGAAAAGGGGGAGGGGCTAGTAGTACATATTTAAAATGCAGCGCGAGCATTTATTTCCCGGTGGTGCTCCCTGGGGAAGCTGGCCGAGGAGCACACAGGGCTCTGCACTGTGTTTGCAGCTTCTTGTGAGTCTTCAGCTATTTCCAAATAAGTAATCACTTCAAAAATGCACCCACGAGTGCGGCTGGTGTGTCTCAGCGGCTGAGTGTCCACCTATGATCCAGGAGATCACGGTTCGATTCCCGGTCAGGGCACAGGCCTGGGTTGTGGGCTCGATCCCCAGCAGGGGGCGTGCAGGAGGCAGCCGATCAGTGACTCTCATCATTGATGTTTCTCTCTCTCTCCCTCTCCCTTCCTCTCTCTGAAATCAATAAAGATAAAGTTTCTTTAAAAAATGCACCCACGAAACAAACAAGCAAACAAAAAATGAACAAACTACAGTGCAGTGCAGGCCAAGGTCAAGGCCGTGCCAAGGGCAGTGGGTGGACCCGAGACAGTATCTCGAGCGGTTCACAGCCGAGCATCTTCATTCCGCTTCCTTTTCCAGAGCCTTCACCGGGGAAAACGAAAGAAGCACCTCCCATAAAGAGGATGACCATTTGCCTGAAGGTCAACGACCCCCTAGTCACTAAACTCGGTAATGTACCCCCTTTTCCATTTCCCGAGGTGCCGTTGAAAAAACTGCCCACTCGGGCTTCAAAACCTAACAAACAAACAAACAAACAACAAACGAGCCAGGAGTCAGCACCGGTGCCTCCTCAGGGCCTCCTCCTTGCAGCCCAGCAGTGGGGCAGGGGGAGGAAGGCGGGGCAGCCTGGGCAGAGGGAAGAAGGTAAAT